GCTCTCACATACTGTGTGTGCTACTTCATAGCCGTGCTGGGCATTTTTCTCTGTCTCATGCTGAACCCAGTCGACCAATCACAACAGACTGGGTCATCGGACAAATCACAGCAGATTAGCCTCACACAAAGGAGGGGTTTGGGAACAAATGAATCGCTGAACAAATCATATAGGAGTTGTTGGGGTTATTAGGAAAAAATAAATGCATATTATAAAACAATGAATGTGTTGTTTTGTCCTTGCAGGCATATCAGACTGTTGTTGGAGACCCCTAAAACCAAATATGACATTTTATAATGCAAAATAGGGGCTCTTTATATGGTTAATTCGCACAGAAAATTTAAATTCTATTGTTAATTACTCTGTTGTTCAAACCCCCTGGACCATTCTGATATTTTAGATCCTCCATAGATCTTCCATAGACAGAAATGATCACAAGATGTTCAGAAAAGGAACCAAAAACATTGTCAAAAAATCCATGTGACTTTATACACTTTATACATTTAAAAAACTGTAAAAACAACTTTATTTGCCAGTGTGTTCCACATCAGATCAGGGTGCATGTTTACTAAAGCTAAAGGACGCTTGCTGATTCTAATATCTCTATTAGTAGACATGGAAGAGAAGACACATAGTAGGCGAACACAGTCATGTTTACAGTTATTTTGGCACACAAAATGAGCTTTGCATGATTACAGTTTGAACAACTGAAGTGACCTGGAATGTTTTATCATTGGTTTTGGTTCTTTTTCTGAACTTTAAAGGTCTCTGGACTGTAACTGTCCTTGGTGGATGAGGGAGCTCTTGATTTCATCTAAAATATCTTCAATTTGTGTTATGAAGATAAACAAAAAATATGCCATTCCTATACATGACTACATACTAGCTGTCAATAGCCCCTTTCACACAGTGATACCAGTAAATATCCGGAACATTTCCGGAACTACTTTACCGGTATATTTAAAAAAACGCTGTTCACACAGGCGAGGACGTTACGGAATTTTTCCGGAAAAGGGCATTCACACATCCATCGCAAAATGCCGGTAAATTCTGACATCATTAACCAGAAATGACCTCTAAACGGCTGCGCTTGTGTTTGTAAACATTTGACTAACGTTACATTACAAACTCTTCGGATGGATCAGTATTGAGTACAACTCTAATGAAAACATAGGGTAACACTTTCGCATGTCGAGATGTTCATGATATGTTTGTGTGCTGGCGCTATGGGCGCTCACGGGCCACGCAAAGCTTGAAGGTAAACAAACAACGGATTATCATAAACATTTTATCGATAATTATTTACACAGCATTAAAAAGGAACATAGAAACATTATCTGACTAACATCTAGCAGCTAAAGGTGTCTGGAAAAAATATTCAAAGGCTTTTATTCTCATAAACCGCGCGCACGTGAATGCGTCTGACTGTTCTGATTGGCTAAAGCAGGTTACTCACGTCAGCCCGTTCTATACGTGGACGCGCTTATTAAGGCAATCTTCCTTCTGCATTCACACAGCGCAGCATTCCGGCAAATTACCGGTAATGTTACAACTTCTCTTTCCGGAAAATAGCCAGAACGAATTTACCGGTATTTTCAAAAAGGGCCTGTTCACACATACAACCTTTCCGGAAAATTGCCGGTAATTTTCCGGAAAGGTCTGTATGTGTGAAAGGGGCTAATGGTGTCACATTGTGCTTTCCAATCCTGTTTCTCTTTTGAATTGGTCCCTTTAGGGTGTAGGTCTCAAACTCAATTCCTGGAGGGCTTTTTCTTTTTTTGCTCCAACCCTATCAAACACAGCTGATCCAAATAATCGAGGTGTTCAAAAGAGTCATGACCACCTTCATCAGTTGGATCAGCTGTGTTTGATCAGGTTTAGAGCAAAACTGTGCAAAGCTACGGTTCTCCAGGAATCGAGTTTGAGACCTATGCTCTAGAGCAGGGGTCACCAATCTCGGTCCTGGAGGGCTGGTGTCCCTGCAGGGTTTAGCTCCAAATTGCCTCAACACAGCTGCCTGGATGTTTCAAGTATACCTAGTAAGATCTTGATTAGCTTGTTCAGGTGTGTTTGATTAGGGTTGGAGCTAATATCTGCAGGACACCGGCCCTCCAGGAACAAGTTTGGTGACCACTGCTCTAGAGTCTAGACTCATATATTTGTGGTCCTGGAGTGTGCTTCTCAATCAGTTCCTTAGCTCACGAGGTTGGGGATCAGTTAGCTGTGCACATGAGTTTGGGCACTGGTCATTTCCAGGACTAGGCATTGTGCTTTCAGTGTGACATGAGAATGTCGATCATCAAAACTGGGATTTATAAATGATAGTAGAACTAATATACTTTTTAAACTTTATATGATTACAGTTTGAACCACTGAAGTGACCTGGAATGTTCTGACAATGGTTTTGGTTTCCTTTTTTTGAACTTTGAATGTTATTAAGATCATTGCTGTCTGTGGAGGATGAGGGAGCTCTTGAAGTCAAAGTCAAAGTCAGCTTTATTGTTAATTCAGTCACATGTACAAGACATATAGAGAATCGAAATTGCGTTACTCTCAGACCCAAGGTGCTTAACATTAAAAAATATATAAAAAAAAAAAGAGAGAATTTCATCTAATTTATCTTCATTTGTGTTCTGAAGACGAATAAAGGACTTAGTGTATTGGAATAACATGAGGATGAGTAATAAAGTGCTTTCAGTTTTGGGTGAACTGTCCTTTAAGGTCTTGTACACATCACCTCAACCTACATGCCCTGCAACATGTTTACTAGATGTCATTTTCCTGCAGAATCATCAGGAATCATCATCATCGGTTAATTTTAGATTGAATATTTTTTTAGCTAATCAACATTTATGTCTAAGGTAGGCAAAAGAAAGTGATATAAAGGCCAAGCTTAGCAACCCATGCTCAGAATTTGTGCTCTGCATTTATCCACTATCCAAGTGAACATTTTCTATGGTACCAAGGGAGCAATTGGGGATTCAGTGCCTTGCTCAAGGGCACCTCAGTCATGGGTATTGAATGTGGAAGAGAGTGCAGTCCATTCTCTCCCTTACTTACAGTACAACCTTTCGCTAATAGGAATCAAACCGATCTTTGGGTTGGGTTCATATCTCTAACCATTAGAACAAATTACCGAAGGTCACTGATAATATGATATAAAATGCAGATGTTCACTGATTCTTTTGTAAATGAATGGATAGAACTTTATTTTGATGGTGCTTTTTGTGCATTCTGTTGACTATAAGTTACATTGCAACTAAATGCCAACTATTTCTCATTAAAGTATAAGTAGACTGTCTGCTTAGTATCTGCTGACAATGCTCAACCAACAGATTTTAATTGACTATAAGAAACTTTGCATATACATGTTAACTTATTTATTAACCCCAACCTTACAGTCAATTATTACTCATTAAGTATTAGTTGGCATGTAGATGCAATGTAAGTTAAAATCAATCAAATGTGTTAAAGGCACCATCAAAATAAAGCGATACCAATTAATGTAAGTTGTTGAATGAATTACTTGTCATAGGAACTAGGACGAAGTTAACTTCCAGGTTGGCCTAAAATATGCCATTCCTATGCATGACTACATTTGACTAGCTGTCAATGGTGTAACATTGTGCTTTCCAATCCAGTTTCTCTGTTGAATTGGTCTCTCTAGAGCAGGGGTGTCAAACTCAATTCCTGGAGGGCCGAAGACCTGCACAGTTTAGTTCCAACCCTGCTCCAACACACTTACCTGTAGGTTTCAAACAAGCCTGAAGGACTCAATTAGTTTGATCACGTGTGTTTAATTAGGGTTGGAACTAAACTGTGCACAGCTGCTGCCCTTTTGAAACTGAGTTTGACGCCTGTGCTACAGAGAGTAAACCCATATATTAGTGGTCTCGGAGTGTGCTTCTCAATCAGTTCCCAAGCTCCTGAGGTTGAGGCACACAAATTCGGCACTGGTCAATTCAGGGAATTTAGGAACTAGACATTGGGACTTTGGGTGTGACTTGAGAACGTCCTCAATGTAGATCATTAAAACTGGAATTTGTAAACAACAGTAGAACTAATATATTTCAACGACTTTTTAAAAAGGACATCAAAGATAAATAATGTAATATTTTTTTCATATACCAGCAACTTTTAAACAATTTTTAATGTTTAATAGATTGTTCTTTATCTGTCTAGCTATGTTTGTTCATGTGAAATACAGGTTCTTTTTAGAGAGACCTTTCTCGTTTCTCGTCATTATGTTTGATGAGTTGGTTTGCGTGATTCATGTTTCGCGTACATTTCTGTTGAGGGATAGAGTACATCGATGCTCCCTAATTTTCATGTTGCTTTGTAGGACTTTTTTTTTCTTTTTTTTTAGGGAGCAATCATTTCAATGCAACCAATGAATTTTGTGATTGGGACAACACTTAAAGTGGGTGACTCCCTAATCAGTGCCCTGACTACTGAACAAGGGAGCTGATTGAGAAAGAACAGTCAGAGGTCGGAGCCAGCGCTAAGTGGGTGGGACTTAAGCTCCAAATGGTTTGGCTTTCGAGCTCCAAGTGGGCTGTACAAACCTAGAGTTTTATATATTTAATGTCTTGTACATGACAAAGTCCATTATTGTGCTTTTAAAAGTACAAAACCCAAAACATAAACCCAACCTCATTATAACATGTTGTGTTTTATTAACGTCAACACCTACACCAACCCTAAACCCAACCTCACAGCAACCTGATGTGTTGTATTAATATCTGCTCCACCTACACCACCTGTACTCAACCTACTTGTGGTTTAAGTCCCTCCCACTTGGAGATCACTCAACCTACTTGGAGGTCTCCGGGCTGCAGCTACACCTACTTGGATTGAGATCCACCCAAAGTTCCTACCTAATGACTTGCGGAGTTAATGCAGGTGTGTTTGATTCAAGATGGTGTAGTCCCAGCATCTAGCAAGAGTAAACTTGCAAGCAAAACATCAACCATTTAGCTCATACAAACAATCCATCCTACCTTTATGCTTATCCAGGAGCTCTGTTGCATGTTCGATGACCTCGTAATATTCCTCCAGCTCTAACATGCACTGGCAGTAGTTCAGTACTAACGGAATAATAAGCCTGCCCAGATTAATGTAGTCTTCATCTCCTGGCATTTCCTACAAAAAAGGTAAACAAACTCAGATTCTTTATTTACACTGCAAAAAGTCGAGTTACAGTCTTATTTCTAGATAAGAAATCTCATTGACTTGTTTTAAGAACACACAGGGTTTCAGGTTTCTTCTCGTGAAATTTAAGACTTTTTAGACCCTTATGAATGCATTTTTAAAAATGTAAACACTAAGAATTTTTTTCTAGTGGCCTGGGGCCTGTTTCAGAAAGGAGGGTAACTGAAAACTCAGAGTATTTTAACCCTGAAATGAGAGAAACTCTGGGTTTTCCGTTTCAAAACGGCAGGTTTGTTAAACTCTAGAAAGCAGGGTAAGTCAAGCCTGTTTCTGAAAGAGAGGTAACTTTAACTCAGAGTAAGTTACTGTGGTAACTTACTCTGTGAATCTAACCTGGTCAGAAGCAGGTTTTATTCTCTAAACTCAGAGTTTCTGTCTGTCTCCTCCCCTTTTTTAATGATGAAGCGGTATTTCTCGCCTTAGCCTTACATCTCCACACACCTATTTTAATGCTCATTTTGGATACGTGCATAAAAACGATTGATAGAAACGTCATGATGCACATAACTTTTTAAAATATGCATAAAAAACACGCATAACTGAGTAGGATAAACTTTTATTCGATAGAAAATGTGCGCATAAACTTAGATGGAAAAACTTTTACTGAACAAATTACAGTATGTACATTAAAAAAAAGATCATGATCATATGATAATGAAAATGTGTGTAAATGGACAAACCAGCAGGCTGGGCACACTGTAACACGTCTTAAATATTGTTTTAGTCATTCTAAAATGCCTTAACTGTTTCAGTATTAGTGTATATTATTAATTACCTCCGAACGTCTGGTGCGTGTCAAGAGTCTCCGCGTCTCATGGCTTCAGACACCCCCACGTGTTCATTGTGTTTCAGCATTGTCTTCTGACATCGAGGCGCAAGTACATTAATTAGGCTAAATAAACGACGCAGCTTCTTCTACCACAGTAAATTCTGTTTTTACTGTTGATATTTGGTGCCAGTTTAATCAGGAAGTGACAATTTTTTTCTCTTTGACTCGTTGGATGGAATTTTATTCGCATCTTTTATGCAATATTCCAGTTTTGCACATAAATTTATGTAATATATTTGGATGGAAACATAGCTATTGCCTACATTTTAGTCACACACAGAAGAACTGTACTAGAATGGCTTATCCTTTTTTAATAATTAAATTAAATTCACCTTCGACATGCACTGTAACTAGATTAATGGGATTATTATTCTTTCTAAAAATTATTTTTAGTACTGCTTACCTTCTAAATGTTATATTAACCTCTATCACTTGATCAATAAAAAAGGCAGACACACAAGTGCACTGTTAAATCATTTAAAACTAATAAATGTATAAAAAAAGTTTAGAAAAAAAATATAAACGTCACAAATTACATTACTTATTTTATTATACTTAAATATTTAAATACTTAAAAAGTGAAATTAGGCATTAACTTGAGCAGCTGTTTTCCCACGCTAACTGTCTCTTCTTCACTGATGGTTGCTTCTTTTCAAATATATACACTCATATTTGCTATAACTTTGCATGAGAACATCAAGTTCAGCTGGAGAAAGAAATGGTGATCTCTTTTATAAGATATTGCCATAGTCACTCGTAATGTCTGCGCTCCATTGATAATGCCTTTTTAAAGTCACGGTGCGCGCACTTAACTCTGAGTTGGTCTACTCGAAGTTGATTGACCCAACTCAGATCAGCTGTTCTGAAACCGAAAACTCTGAGTTTTTAATCTCTTGGTAAATCAACTCAGAGTTCAAGTTTAAACTCTGAGTTGTTTGAACCTCCTTACTGAAACAGGCCCCTGGTTACTTCTGTAATAGCTTTTATATTAATGGAAGCTCATGTAAAGGGATGTGTTGCTTTAGTTTTTTTTTCTAATGAGGGAATTTAATTTGAAGAATTTGCAGTTGTGTATCTTTTTGCAATAAAACAAATTAAATATATATTTAAAAAACAGGTTTTGAAATGGATTATTGGTGATTGGGCGTTGGCAAGCTTTACTTGCACATAAATAGGAAAGACCTGTTTAGATTAAGACCTGTTTAAACTGATTTAAGGCCTACAACCCAGTGATTTTATGACTTTTTAAGGCCTAAAGTTTTTGAAATTTAAGACACTTTTTAAGACCCTACAGACTCCCTGATACAATACTACGCAAGATTAAATTGTTTGATTATTATAATTGTTTTAAGTTACTTTAGTAAAGCCTAAAGGTAGACATTTTACCTCAGGCTTTCTGCAGGTTTCATCAGGTCAAATTTAAGACTTTTTGACACCCTTTTAAGACCATAATATAATCCTAGACTTCTACAGGATTTTTTTTTTTTCTAATGGCCCGGTATTATCATGAGGAATCATAGCTGTTTTTAGTTGTCTTTTAGTTTTATTTTGTTGTTGTCTTTTTATTATTGCTTTTAGTTGTCTTGAGTTTGGAAATGGGAAATTTGCTGTAAAAATGTCTAACAGCTGTTAGACAAAAAATAAGGTTTTATTGAGATGTATTGTTGGTGATTGGATGGAAAAAATTAAGCCCTGTTTAAAAATTAATTAAGACCTCCAACACTATACTTAGAGAATATAAAACTTTTTAAAGCCTAATATTAAGATTTTGTAATTTAAGACTTTTTAAGACCCAGCAGGCACCCTGTACCTGCTAAGTTAGATTAAATGCAACTGGAGCCTTAATTTAAGACCACATTTGTATTTTTAGGAGTTTATTTTAGCTGTAAAAAACTTTTTTTCTTGCCCATTAAAAAGAAAGAACAACTTCTACTTGTTCTTAAGTGAAAAAAAATACATCACGTTATGATTTGTTGCAGTAAGCTTGAGTATTTTGAAAAGCAACAGGGAACAATTTCGCATTGTACCAACTGTCAAGTAATAATTTATATAAAAACATTGTGTACAATAAGCGTGTATGATTTAATTTGTACAGTAATCTTGTTTTAAGTTGAAATGCTTTGGCACATTTAAAGGCTGAATATATATATATAACGAAAATTCTTAAATTGAGGAATTTTCCTGTTTAGTAACTCTAGTTAAGACTTTTTCCACACCAAATAAGAAAAGCAAACTGTTTAGAAAACAATTAACAAGCTAATTTTAAGATAATTAGACTAAATATACTGCAGTGTAGCAATACTTAGTCTATTTTAAGACATTGTTTCTTTACTTTAAGACATTGTTTCAAAAGCCTAGGTAAGTTTCATTGTTTCTTTATTTTAAGACATTGTTTCTAAAGCCTAGGTAAGTTTTTTTATTTCAAGAATTTTTACCAAGTAACCTTACTGCACTAACCGATAATTGTATGTATTTGTAGTATGTGTCTTCTTAAATCATCATTAAATTATTGTATTTATATGGTTGTTTTTTGCACTGTAATGCTGTACCACACTAGTTACATCTTTGTCCCATTTAGGGCTGTGTGATATTGAAAAAAACGAGATTGTGATATTCTGTTTTTGTGCAATATCTTTTGCGATATGAATGCAACATGTGAAGTCAAGATGACTTATAACTATTTGGAAAAAAATGTATAATTTTACATTGTGATGATTTTGTAGGGGAGTGAATCTGCATAAAAAATAATTACAATCATAAAGTTATAAAATGGAACAAAAATACAAATGAAATAAACAGTGTGTTTTCTGGAGATTAACAGTATAAATGTACAGAAATAATTAATCAATATAAAATAACACTTATTTACAGTAGTCAACATTTGAAGTGGATCAAAACCTTTCACCAAACTTGTCCAGGCCTGTAGACAGCCTGGTGAAAGCCTAGTGCCCGGTGACCTTTTTGCAGTTATTCACTTCATTTTCTATTTAATTATGAGATTTAACTACTGCATTTAGTGACATTTTGCTGGATTAGCTTGTCGGATGGTAACCGACATAACCACACTTTTTGATGTACTAAAAATATTTCCTAAAGATTTAGAATAAAAATATTTGAAGAAAAAAAAAACTTTAAAAAAATGCCAATTTATTACATATATCATCATTAGGGGGGAAAAATAAAATCTGTTAAAGTTTTAAATCAAAAACTGTAGCTTATTTTCATTTATTAGGAAAATAACAAACAGCAGCACATTCAACTTTGCTCAGTCAGAATTTGGCCATTTGAATATTAAACCAATTAAAGCAATAATAATAATAATAATGTAGAGCTTGATGATTTTTCTTGCCTCTCTTGTAAAAAGCACATTTGAAAATTCATGGAAAACAACAATAGCCAAATTAGTATTAAAATTATCCTTAATATGCTCCATTTTTGGTGCTTCACACTTTTCAATTGGTGATTTTATTTAATTTTTTCTTTCAAGAATAAGGTTCAAGATTTAGAATAAAAGTTTCTTGTAATATGTTTTCTACTTAACAACAATACAGTAGGTCAGTAGTAAAAGATGACTTCACTTCCGTCAGATTCCGCTCGGTTTTAAAGCCTTTTATGGCTTATTTTCATGATAGCTTAGCTTAGCAGTCAAAATATAACAAATGAGCTCATGTTTGGGACAAATTCTGGACCTTTATCAGTGGGGGGGTAGGTCTTTAAAACCACCCGAACCCCTCCCTGGCTACAGGCCTGTTGTCCTAAAATGATTCATTCATTCATTAATTTTCTTTTCGGCTTAGTCCCTTTATTAATCTGGGGTGAACTTTATCCAGCATATGTTTTTACACAGCAGATGCCCTTCCAGCTGCAACCCATCACTGGGAAACATCCATAGACACTCGTTCACACACATACACTACGTACAATTTAGCCTACCCAATTTACCTGTACCACATGTCTTTGGGCTTGTGGTGTAAACGGAAGAACACAAGAGAACATGCAAACTTCACACAGAAATGACAACTGACCCAGCTGAGGCTGAACCAGCGACCTTCATGCTGTGAGGCAATCGTGCTACCCACTGAGCCACCGTGATGCCCTAAAACTATTCAGCAATACAATTAAAGTCATCTTTGTTAATTCCGTGTTTACAAATGTTCTAATTTCTAGTGCCCAGATGCTTTAAATTCACTTGAAATCATACATAATCTCAAACCTCTAAAGGTTAAACTTAATACTTAACTGTGTTTTTGGTTTAATTACAATACAAACTTGACATTGCAGATCCTGCGACGGGACTATTGCATATTGTGATATCGATGCTGAAATGATATATTGTGCAGGCCTTGTCTTATTATTGCCCTATGACACTCAGTGTTTTCTTTTACCCTGGATTGGACTGTACGCAGCAGAACCACGGCCTCCTGGTACTTCTCTGCAGCTTCACGAAAGCGACCTTGTTTGACCAGGGCGTTGCCCAAATAATGCAAAGAGGGCACAACCTTTAGCTTCTCATCCTTCTCCATCATCCACGACTCCCGCTGGTAAGAGAATGGGTCGCCCACCTGAGGAAGACAAAAGAATTGGAGCGTGCTCGTCTCGCTCGATTGAGGATTGAAAACGCGGTCTGAGAATTGGGAACAGCCTTTCTTTCCTGGCGTGTAGCACTTGATTGTGTAACATTCTGTTACGCTCTGTTTGGGTTGCAGTGAGAAAATCTGTTGGCGGTGAAGGAGTGGGTCTAGAATGAGCATATGAGTGTGTTGTGCAAATGTGCGTGTATGCATTTGCTTGTTTTCTTGCTCTGTGTGCGTACACCTGACCCACCGAGATTAGCTCCATGATGAAGATTAGAGGCTGAGGTGTCCTCATTAGCTCATCGAGCTCCGGGAAGCCTGTCGAATGGTAGGTAAACACATTTCCCATGCCACACATGTGCTTTTGGCCCTCCAGAGGGTCCTTTCCCTGAGCAGCCAGTCGCATACCTTTCGCCACAATGGGATAAAGCCCTGTGTGCTGAGTATACAAAGAAAAAGATCATATACTAGTGTTTCCTACAAAAATGCCTGGGGACTGGACTAATAGCAAGTAATTGTAAAATTAAAGATGTTGTATTTCAGTTTTTGACTCCTCCAAAGCATAAAAATACCATAATATGTTTGTAGATATTTAAAATACATGCTAAGTCAAAGGTCTCAAACTGCACAGTTTTGTTCCAACCCTAATCAAACACAGCTGATCCACGTAATCAAGGTGTTCAAGACTACTAGAGACTATTAAGCAGGTGTGAGGTGGAGGTGGTTGAAGCTAAACTATGCAGAGCTGCGGCCCTCCAGAAATTGAGATTGACACCACTGTGCAAAGTGAACATTCTTGTTTATCTGAAAAACCATGCTGAAGTCAGATATTCTGCTTAGAAAAGGCATTAAATGCCAGAACGTCTGTCTTTGTTTTGCTTCTTTTAACCCGCCCAATGCCAGTTTAGACAATTATGTTTCAGTACCCTGAGTTGCCTTGTTGGAAAACCGAGTATTTCATTCATACATTTAGAAAGGCTCTCAAAGCATTTGCCCACGACCTGGCCCAAGACGCAGATTTAGAGTTCCACATGAGGTTATTTATTAGCAAATAATATAAGCATTACGCAGATAAATGTTAGGTGAGCAAGTTACATTGTACCCCTGTGTTCTCACAACATGCTACATGATGACAATTGCACCAGACGAAACACAACAAATTTAAATACAGCCATTCAGAAGCACAGAATAGTGCACTTACTACACTCCAATGAAATGGTAAGCTTTGTAATCTAATGAATAAATATTAAACCTCTTTGACATTATTAAATGTAGATGCTGAATCACTGATATGTGTTGGCTTGCACTGAGTCACAGTTCTAGAGTTTAATTTCAAATTTAAGGATTTAAGATTATGATGACTCTTAAACACTTCATAACAGTCTTGTGAAAAGGGTTTATTACATACCATTACATTCCTTCCCACCTCGAAATGACTTTTATTTAGTTCTGGTCACATGGAATTTCTTTAGGCAGGGCTTTCAGTCATTTAGGGTGGGGCTATCAGTGAGTGTCATGCTTCTGTCCTGTCTTTATGGGAGGCAATGGTTCAAATGAATATCATACGAGTTGTTCGATAAAATTTAGCTCCTCCTTTATCATCATCATCATCGGATCATCATTGAAGAAAGCTGAAAAATTGTCATCCATAATAGGAAATAAAATACTAGTAAGTCAATGGCTATAGGTTTACAGCTTGCAAAATATCTTCTCTAGTGTTAGATAGAAGAAAGAAACTCATAAAGGTTTGAAACAAGCAAAGGGTGAGTAAATGAAGGCAATTTAAATTTTTGGGTGAACTATGCTGTTTATTTGACATCACTGAGAATAATGCTAATTAACAATGACTTGATTCTGGTGGAGTATATTCAGCAACCCACCCTAAGCTCAGTTCATTTTTCAGAATGATTTAAACCAACAACCATAATAATACATTTAAAAACCGGCTCATTTCCTTTGAGGATCAGACTATGTTTGTGATGTTTCTGATTCACTCAAAAGAATTGACTCAGAGGAATCTAGACTACCGTGTCCAGGTCATTCTGTATTTTTTGGCACTGAAAAAACTCAGCATCACAGGAAACACTTTGTTCAGTGTTTTTCTGCACCAGCTGTTACATTTTTTTAGCTGTATTTGAAATAGAAAAAAAACAATGTAGGAAGCCACAAAAATCAGATGGATTTTCCCTTTTATATTTATGTGAAGATTAGATCAGATCAAGATGAAGCTGGTGTGATTATTTCTAAATAAGGGGACAATAAGTGGGAGTAACAAAAAGAGGTTTACGAACACTTACATCGGCATCACACCAAAACTCTGCCACCTCTCCGATCCTCATGGAGGTTAACAGCACCTCCCACACCTCCATCTTGAACATCTTTCCCACAAAAATCTCTGTGGGACGCTTATTTTTGCGACTGTCGTCAATCACTGTTCTTTCAAAGTTGTCCAACAGAGTCTGGAAGTGGAACACCAGCTTTGAGGGTAGAAAGGCATAAAAGAAGAGAGAATAAAAACAGGATTAAGAGAGAGCAGAGATGTTTTTCTTCCTGCTTAGTATGCCATGCACATCTCCTATTTGTTGTATGTGTTGGTTTGAGAAATGCAGGGTTTTCAAACAGGTCAGGCTGATGTCTTGTTATGACATCTTAATAGACCATTTTGAGGGATATAAACAAAAACAATAGTCCCAACGCATTTCCTGTTTTACATTTTTAATTTCTAAAGCTTCCGAGAATCCAAAAAGAGCCACATATATTCACGGATCATTTATGGAAGCTGATTCCAGCAGCGGGGGGTGCAGAAGCTGAAGGCCGATTCACCCTGCTTTGGCTGTACTATTGGAATTTCTAGTTTGTTAAGGTACAAACCCTAGTCTGTTAGGATTGTATTCAGTAAGCATATCTGTAATGTATTGAGATCCTAGGCCATTTAGTGATTTATAGACAAGTAATAATAGTACAAAATCTATTCTGAATGTAACTGGGAGCCAGCTTAAGGGCTCCCTGATTTTCTGGTTCTGGTCAGAATCCTGGCCGCAGCGTTCTGAATCAGCTGCTACTGTCTGACTGTCTTTTTGGGAAGGCCAGTGAGGAGGCCAGTGAGGTAATCCACCCTGCTGCTGATAAAAGCATGAACAGGTTTCTCTAAGTCTTCACTGGAAACAAAGCATTTTAATGTAATGTTTTTGAAATTATGGTATGCTGATTCACTAAATGAAACTCAGATCTGACTCAAGTCACACCAAGATTCTTGACCTTATTTTTTTGTTTTTGACCTTAAGTGCCAAGGTACGCATTCACCTTAAGAACCTCATCTCTGTTCCCAAACGCAATGACTTCAAGCTGTTAATTTGATCAATGCACTGGCAGAGGGTGTCAATGGGGCTGAAGTCATTAGGCAGTAAGGCCAAGTAGATCTGAATGTCGTCGGCATAGCTGTGGTAGGAGATTTTTTAAAATTTATTTCATTATTTGGCTCAGTGGAAGCATATAAAGGTTAAACAGGAGAGGTGCCAGAATTTAACCTTGTGGTTCACATGCCATGTGTGACCACCTCAACTTATGGCCATATATAATGAAATAGTAACCTCTCCCTTCAAGGTAAGATCTGAACCATTTGAGCACTGTCCCAGACAGCCCAAACCAGATTTCCAGCCTATCCAGATGTTTGCTGTGATCGTCAGTGTCAAATGCAGAACTGAGATCAAGCAATTCCAGCACCGTTAGTTTGCTTGAATACTTTTTTAGGCGTATATCACTGATTATCTCTATAAGAGCTCTCTGTACTGTGATGTGGTCTGAAACCAGATTGAAAATTGTCTAAACATCCTTTAGAGCTTAAGAACTTAACTTGGTTAAAATAATTCTTTTCAATGACTTTGCCAATGAAAGGGAGATTTGAAATTGTCCTGTAACTGCTAAATAGGGAGTTATCCATGTTATTCTTTTTCAAGAGGGGTTTAACAACTGTAGTTTTAAGTGAGTTTGGAGAAGACGCTGAGAGAAGTGAAGCATTTACCACTTTTAGGAGATCAATTTCTAAGGGTTAAACAACGTTTTGAAGAATGATGTGGGGAGTGTGTCAAGACGGCAAGTTGATGTTTGATAACAAACAGGAAATGTTTATAGGCCAATGACATGAGCACATTGAAATGGGTCTATAGCTTCATTCCTGGCCCAAATTTGTTTTCATTATAAGACATTTAAATGTGATGTTTTTTTAAAGTATATTAATGGCGACACATTGATGGAATACAGAGCACAGCTGGTAAATGGAGAGATTAATGTTGGCATTGTCATGGAAAATGTTTGTCATCCTCTCCAGGCTGAGGGCCATATGGCTGGACAAGTAGGGGGTGGGAAAGTCACCTGGCACAGATACGATGTTCCTCTGCCGCTGCCCAAAACGATAGGTTGCCAAACTTCTGTGCAATAATACGGACCAAATGTTTCGTCGCATAACAAAACCATTTTATCATCAGTGGAATCAGGCTACAACCATTACTAATCAAAGTAAACGGTTAGACATGAAGCAAAAGCCACATACTCTTCTTACCTTCGTTCCATTGGGAAAATGCGGCATTGGTCCTTGACCTCCATGCAAAATCTTCTTTTTTACTCCAGGATGGTTTAGCAGATACGTCTCTTCCATTTTCTGCTTGTTTTCCGAGGAGTGTTTTTTTATTTATTGAATCAGTCCTAATGTCCTGTAGCCTTGTGAGAGATGATCCTTGGGTGTGTTAATTAGCAAGCTAAGGGAGAGAGGAAAAAAATAATATAATAATAAAAATCACACCCTGTAGCCCGGTGCTGCCTGTCTGCTCTCTGACAGATGGCTGGATTACCAGGTTGAGGATAGCCACTTTAATCTGCCTTGGCTAATCCTTCAACCCCCCTGAATCTTCAGTATAATCCCCTGTAAGAAGTGAAGGGATGGGTGACCAGAGAGCGGAACTCAGAGTACGGAGACAGTCGAGATCATTCTGGAAGGCAATGGAGTTCAGTAATCCCGCAGAGAGTTTGTTAGTGTAATTCAGTGCAGACAGAGTGATCTAGAATTCTCCAGAACGATTTTCCAGTTTGTTAACCCCTGTAATAGGAGTAAGCTTACAGATTTGCAGACTTTCTGAACAGCAGAAACTCGCCAACAACACAACTTTTTTTCCAAATGGGAATTTATTTAAACAAGTAACTAAAAACAAGGTCAAAAGAAAGAACGAATGCATGATTGATCCTTCCAATCCACAGTATGATGAGGCCAGATGGTCAGTCACATATTTAGACAACTCACATTCAGCTAATACAAGAAGTCAGACATGTGTGTATGTATTCAGCAGTCGCCTCTGGTCAGTGTGCTTGTATTGCTGAATCTTGGTAATGGTGAGCATCACTTCTCGATCAGCGAGTCCAGCTGCTCTTGAAGGGAAGCCAGCTGTTGGAACAGAATAGCATTGATGGATGGCTAGCAGTAGGGGTATAATTGAAGGCTAAGTGCAATATGTTCAACAACACCTCCAACATTGCTACTTTTATTTCCCCATTAGACCATTTGTCAGTTTAGGTGTAAACAAACAGTGACAGGAGAAAATGACATTGGCCGAGGGTTATGGTCAATAATAATAGATAGCAACCAACTGGTTAAAGCATGCATGCGTGTTTACTTCTTTTACTCAGCACTACTGCATATGGAAAGTTAGATCAAGCTCAATAGAAATGTGTTGTAGTCTCATACGTGCATTTGTGTTTGAAATGTACATACAGTGGTCCCTCATTAATCGTGGGAGTTACGTTCTAAAAATAGCCCTCAATAGCTGAAATCTGCGAAGTAGTCCGCTTTAATTTTTTACAATTATTATAGATGTTTAAAACCACTCACTACACCATTTTCTCAGAGATACACTTTTCTCTCGTTTAAACACTTGTGTAACTTCTACCTTCCTTTAGCATGTCCAGAGGTCCAACTTTTTGTGCAATGGTTAGCATTTTCCTCTGCCTTTTGGGTGCTACCGTGGGTGTCTTTGACTGTGCAGAATGTTTCGTCGACATTATGGGGTTTGTTGGAGAGAAAACTTGCAAACATCCAGTACAGCACTTCAGAGTCACGCTGCTAGCAATCAAAGATTTATGTCAATCGCCAGCTGAACGCATTCTGTACTGTACAGGAGAGACAGCATGGAGGAGGTTGATTGACAATGATCTACAGCCAATCAGGACGCAGAACACAATGTGCTGTACAAAAAGCATGTCAAGTTGCATAAAAAAAACCTGCGAGACCACCAAAGATGAACTGCGTTATAGCGAGGGACCACTGTATTGCATTTTAACATACATTCAGTTTGAGTAGATTCTAATACATTTGGCATCAGTTTAAAGTAACACTTTTATTTTTGGATGGAAATTGGCTCATTTTAAAACTTTTCCAATGGTAAACAGTTGATTTTTTAAAAAATATATTTAACTGATCTCCACGTCTGGCAGGAGCACTTTTAACTTAGCTTAGCATAAATCATTGAATCGGATTAGAACATTAGCATCTCACAAAAAGCAGACTAAAAGTTTGACTCTTGTGTAGTTACATTTTGTACTAAGAACAATGGAAAATGAGAAGTTGCTATTTTCTAGCAATGGTATTACACAGTGTGTGGTTACCTAATAGGGGATTTTTTTCAGGTATTGCGTAATATCTTTGTGCCTGCTGCAGCCATGGTATAGTATATTTTCGGGGGTCAAGTGGTGATTTCCAAAGATCAAATTTATGAAACATAAAATTACCATATTTTATTCATAACATACAGAAGTAAAAATAGTGGTTAACATTTATTCATTCATTCATTTTCTTGTCGGCTTAGTCCCTTTATTAATCCGGGGTCGCCACAGCGGAATGAACCGCCAACTTATCCAGCAAGTTTTTACGCAGCGGATGCCCTTCCAGCAACAACCCATCTCTGGGAAATATCTACACTCATACACTATGAACAATTTAGCTTACCCAATTCACCTGAACCGCATGTCTTTGGACTGTGGGGTAAACCGGAGCACCCGGAGGAAACCCACGCGAATGCAGGGAGAACATGCAAACTCCACACAGAAATGCCAACTAAGCCGAGGCTCGAGCCAGCGACTTTCTTGCTGTGAGGCGACAGCACTACCTACTGTGCCACTGCTTCGCCCCCATAGTGGTTAACACTTAAAATTAAAAAAACAACAACTTAGTGATTGTGACCCCTGGGGTGATTGCATTGTATTAAAGACAAAGCAACAGCATCAGATGCAGCAGATTGATTTTTTTTGGCATCAGGTTCAACTATAAAGGCCACGACTGAACATCGAGGAAGGTCTCAGAGGGATGTTCTCCAAAATTAAATGAGGAAAAGATTTGGACCTATTGGTGTGTGCACTGTTGCATGCAATGTTTGAATATTTATAACCACTTCAGAGGATATTGGGGTCGCGACTAAAAATTGTTATTTTGGGGGTTGCAGGCTGAAAAGTTGGGAACTCGAACTAGTATATAGCAACTTTTTATTTTCCATCAGTTTTAGTACACAAGGTAACTACAGAAGTGTTAAGCTTTAAATTGGTAAATTATTGAAACTTTTTTTTTTAATTGAGCAATATGCTTATGGTCTAATCTGATCCAGTGATTTATGCTAAGACAAGCCATAAGTGCTCCCTCTAGAAATGGGCCCAGTTTTTCAAAAAAGGTAATCTGGATCAAATTAATCCAGATTTGGAAATTCCATGTTTGGCTATCTAGGGTTAACTGATCTATCTTACTTCTATGACAGTTTTTAAAGGAATATTGGGTTGGGTCACTGTGATCCAAATACTAATTTTCAGGATTACCAAAACCGGTTTACCACAGCCTTAAATGGAACCAACAGTGTAGCCTACTGGCTTAGCAAAGAACAACAGGTAGGCAAAATACCAGTGAGTGGCCACAAACAGCCATTGTTTGTTTTATTGGAAAGAAACAGAAACACTGGAATCAACAAACATCTTAGTTTGTTCTAATACAATACTGCTTTGATATTGTATTGTTGTTGTTGTTCACCATATATTATTAGATGTGACATGCTTCATATGAGGCATGGGACGATAACTGTTTTACAGTTTTACTGTTTTACGCTGTTTGTAAATGTCAAGGCTTAAAAACCACCTAAATTTTCTGTTATACTGTTTCTAAGGTATGTGTATGATTTTTTTTTTTTTTTTTTTTTTTACATTTATAGAAGTTATTAGTTTTTTTAGGACAACAGTATCTCCAGCAGAAAAGCTATCCAAAGATGCCATTTTAAATTGTAATGTTTTTTTCAAACAAACGAAGACAGGGATTATTATTTAGTCTGAAATGTTTACTGTTCCAAAATATTTTAAATGTTTCTCAAAATATAATATATTGTGTTTAGAGGGGAAAAAGATTTAGTTTTTTTACCCAGACATTTAAAAATAATATATTTTAGAGCAGTAATCACAATACGGTGAAACCGTAATTTTTTTTCATCAGAAGTTATCATATCGTCAGAATTAAATATAAAGAAATTTATATATCATCGGTAACCATTAAGTTTGTGTTTATTCATTTAAAAAATAAAAACTTTTATTTTATTTGGATAAATCACTATTGAATCAACCCTTCTGATGTAATCAGCATAATCCATTTTTTATCAAATAGATTTTAATCTGAGTTCAAAGTTTTGTATAACCCAAAGGGCAGGTTTGATCTGAATCAAACGTACGATTGGATTACATGGTCTGATCTTAATTCAAAATCCCTGTTACTTTTGAAAAACCCATTTCCAAGATTTGATTCAAGCCATGATCCAAAATCCCACTGGATTACTTTGAAAAACTGGGCCCAGGAGATCGGCTGAATGAATTCAAAAATTGTTAAAACTCAACTGTTTAAATGTGGGGGAGTTGTAAAATTAGCCTATAATATCCAAAAAACGTGGAGTGTTCCTTTAAGGTTTAATGTTCATTTTGGTTACATAAAGCAATCCTTATCTCCTGCTCTGAATTGCAGAGAGCCTTGATACTTTTTTGAAGATATTCATTTTAAAAATTAAACACTGGAGATGAGTTCCTGTTTATTTAATAGATGGATATCTGTGGAGATTCATTAAAATGAAAGACTAAAAATCGTGTGCTGATTATATTAACTGAGCTGCATGATTCTATTTCACCACCACAGAATATATTTGTTTGATACTGGATTGCACTGCTTTCACTGCATGTTTCTGATTAGCAAAAAAAGGTTCATTTTCTTCTGTATTTGAATACATTGATCTCAAATTTCCATATCAAACTTACCTGTTCCATCTCTTGCTCCTCTTGACGAATCATACCATTCAAAAGTCCCTGAAAGCGATCCTGTAAGAGAAAAGAGAGAGACTTCATCTAGCTGACAGTACACTGACTTTACTGCTTGTACACGGATCTATTTGATTTATGACCCTGTGAATGGAGCTTAGATGTGCATGACCTTTTCCTGTCCAATGTGACTGTAATAACCAAGGACAAACTAAGCCAGTATAGTGACCACGGTCCAAACGAAGTGACACTGTTAAACCACATGTTCAACCCCATTTTACAGAGTCTAAATCCTCCTGATGGAGTGGTTGCCAGAGCAATGAATTTGACTCTTTTTTTTTTTTTTTTTTTTTTTGTGAGTTACATAAAAACAGCTAAAGCAGAAATGCAATATTTATGCCTTAAAAAGATGCCAAAAACTTGTTTCAGTGAGATTTATTCAAGGCCATTTTAAAGGTCTGTTCTGCACAAAAACTGTCACCAAAACATTGTGTTTACATGATGCAGAGTGCCAGAGAAAATAGCAAGCTACATCTTTTAGTGCAGGGAAGTGAAACTCACCCTCAGGGCTTGATTTTCCACCTCCATGATCAGTTTCTCCTGTTGCTTCTTGCGGGCACGTGTTTCCTGGAGCTTGGCCTTCAAATTGTTGATCTGCATCTGGTACTCCATTACTGTAGATCAAACAGAAATTGTAAGCTCTAGACATGAGCCGCAGTGAACATGCACACGCTT